AATGGAAGGTGGTCATCTCGATTAAAAGCCATTTCATACTGTGACATGAACTAGACCCCCAAAACGGCATTCAATAGGGTGAACAGAAGCTGAATAAGTGTCTATCTGAACGGCCCCAAATACACGACTCCCAAGCCATTTAATAATATAGAGCTTGATATGAGCTAAATTGCTATAAATAAAATCCTATCTGGGAGTTTTGATCAATTAAACTACACAATTAACAAAGATGGTCCATTCGTCTTCGGCCGTCTAATGTGCACTAGTGTAGAAACACCTCTCCTAGAAGACTAGTTTGTTCAGGAATTAGAACATCCAGAGTGATTTACTGGATTTGATTGAAAAGACACAGCAGGAGCTGGCAAAATTCACATATCATGGGGTTAATGTGGGTTAGAATGTAGCTATTTGAAATACAAAAATATTGCATACCAAACACACATATCTGATTTCTTGTATTCCTAGCTCCTCTTTTTACAGAAGTCCTTACTTGGCTAAAATGAACAACAAAAACAGCTGCATGACCACGATTAGGACAGAGGCCTGCCATGTTCAATTTCCAAAGCGCGAGAATGCCACATGGGCAACGAGTCCAGCCCTGGTGACTGGGCTGACTGGCTGACAGCGTCTCCCGCCCCAAGACGCCCGGCTCTGAGAGGACGGCTGTCCCTACGGAAGCCGCCGGCTCCGGTCCGCAGCCGCCACTCAGGCCCCACGACCCACTGCTTCTGTCTGGTCAGAGTTCCTTCCAGTCAAGAGTTCGGAAGAAAGAGGACAACTAGCCCCAAAGGCTGCTGAAGGCGCTAAGCATCACACAGACAGCAGGTGCAGAGCAGTGACAGGGGACACGAGCCTTTCCACGGAGCCCCCAAGGCCTGCTGACCCCCAGGTGCACCTGAAAACATCACGGACGGCCCCGCCCAGCCCTAACACTGGGCGACACTGGGAAATGGGAAGCAATTTTCCAAAACTATTCCGGAAATCAATCGATTCATTTTTTGTTTTCTTCCCTTAATCTAAGTACTGTTATTGACTACTATCTCCTTGCTTTTCAGAAATCAACAGATTTCCTGAAAACTTTCCCGATTCTTCCGAGGTTTTGCATCGTTGTAACACTGACACTGCGTTGGAGAGTTAGTCTCTTCATTAGAGGACCTGCCAGAGGTCATGTCTGGACTACGCAACGAGCCCCCGCAGGACACGCACCGGTCAGGTGCAAAGACACGAAACTCAGAGCAGAGCTAGGCCCTGTGGAAGGCCTCAAGGTCATAACACCCCTACATTTTTAAACACATTTAAGTCTCAACAAGTATTTGCAAACTTCACTTTCTGCACAGGCTGAGTGCTGCTCCTTGGTTAGACATCAGCTAGCTCCTGACAAGCGCTCCCTGAAAGGTTCCCACTGAGCGGAAACCTAACCTTTGCTTCCCAGCCTTTGTGGCCACAGGGGCTGCAGCCTACACACAGTGCCAAGGCTCAGAAAGTCCAAGCTTGCTCTACAGGGCAACTGGTTTCCACTACGATGAACCACCTCCCCCCGGAACAGAACTCACCACCAAACCGTCCCTGGCATCCATCCTTCTTACCTTCCGTCTAGCTCCTAAGACCCCAGATGCACACGGGCAATCAAATCTTAGCTCCCCAGAAAATGTCTGTGGTCTGCAAAAACACGTGTTTACTGACGAATGTGCTCAGGATCCCTGTACTTTAAACACAGCATAAATAAAACCCGTGTAGGTTCTCGTGTTATGAGCTCTGTCCCCTGTAGGATCACTAGGGTTCTTTCCATCCGTGAGGCCTGTGGGTCCCCAGCCCGCCTAGAGGACCTGCTCTGGCAGGACGCAGCTGCCAGTTCTCTCCCCTCGAAGAGGGCATGTGACCACCCACCTGAACCTCACCGCACCTGTCCCAAAGCGCTTCTGGCATCCTCCTCCGCCACAGACACTCGAACCTGCCTGCCCAAGCAGATGAGTCACTTAAAGACAACATGTCACCTGTCACCTTCTTTAGGGTTCAGAACAGCACTTCACAGACAGAAAGCTCAAGAACACTGTAGGCAGTAGACTGGCAGCCTTCCTGCTATAAAATCTCTAGACATGCTGGATAAAATGACAGGTATCTTCTCAAATACAGAATCTAATCTGCAAGAAAGTAACAGAAATCACCAGTGGCTAAAACAGGAACAGAAAAGGCCGAAACCATGAGTCTCCTGGTGGAGCTGTCCTAAGAGCTAACCGAGGCGTGTGTTCTAAAAGCTCAGAAAAGAGGAGCGAAGTCCTTGGGCTCAGTGAAGGGTGCAGTCAGAATTCAGACGGAGCCGTGAAGGGCTGCCGCCAGAGCGAAAGGGCGGATTAGGAGAAACGCTCCCACTGTCAAAAACCACAGAGAGCTTGTTTCTATCTGCCAGAGGTCTAGGCAGGCCGGGCTGGGGCGGAGTGTTCCCGGAAGTGTGTCAGCATGGGCTAGCCCTCACACGGCGGGGATGTGAGGGTTTGCACACCAAGAACTTCAGCGAGACACTCCGATCGATGAACTTAACATAGAGCGGTCTGGTCAAGGGTTTCCGACACTAGTCCTGAAAGAGTAAACTGGTACAAAACTTGCCCTCCTGCCATAAACAGCTGGAAAACTGTACAGAATCCATAAGACGTGTTTTCAGACACTAGGACAACAGAGAGCACGAGCCTGAGACCCCTGAAATAAAGGCAACAAGGCACACAAGGTTAAAGGTTACAGGGGAGTCCTGTAACCACCACGGTTTTCTCTGTCAAGACAGTCTGAACCGTAGCCTGAGAAGGAATCCAAGCAAAGCAAGACCATGGAGAAGCCAACCGACAATTAACAAAGTCATCAAGCCTGACACTGATGTGCTGTGCAAAGAAAGGCACCTCACCTGAGACAGTGTCCCAATTACATAGCCCCAGGCTAAACACAAGAAAACCTGGACAAACCCAAACTGAGGGGCGTCTTCTAAAACCACCTGGCCAATACTCTTCAAAACCATCAAGGTCATGAACAATAAGGAACTGACAAATTATCACAGTCGTGACAGAAGTGGGGACGGGAACGGCAGCAGGAATGAGAAGGGAGTGATGCTTCTGTGTTTCTCTCTTCACCGAGCCCTGACTCCTAGAACCAGTTTCCCACTCCCCCAGATAATCATTAAATCCAATCCAGGCTGTGGAGCACAAAGGGGAACAACTGAACCCAACTGTATCACAAACGAGTAACAATCACAAGGGGCTGGGAGATAAAAGTAACCAAAGTCGCTTTGGAAAACAGTTTCTTGATCCATATTTATAAAGCGAAGGAAAAGAGCTGAGCATAAATGACACACCAGAATGCAACTCTGAGGTGAACTTCTGGATATGATGCATTTCTGTGGTATTCTTACCAAAAATGCAAATTCTCATTAAAATCACTTGAGTACCTCGAACAACCCAAACTGAGGAAGATCCCACAAAATACCTGACCGATGGTCTCTGCCAATGAGAGACCAAGAGAAACGGAGGGCATGGCCGAGGTGGGAGGGCACTATGGAGCAATGACACATAAACACCAGGATCCTGGAGAAGGCCCTGTACCAGAAAAGGAACACGGAGGTTCGAACAAGATGTGTGCTTCAGTCAGTGCTATGGCAGCAGCGTAAGTGCCCAGGATTTCACAAGTATGTTAAAGTTATACAATAAAACGTTCCAGTACCAGGAAAAGCTGGGTGAGGAGGTAGGTATGGGAACTCGGCACTATTTTTGCATTTTTCCTATAGGTCTAAAATTAGTTCAGAATTAAAGGGGTTTTTTTAGTCTGCTGTTCTGTTTTACAGTGGTTTCAAAGAGAACACTTAAGACCAGCTTCATTTTATCCGATCGAAATTTGAATTTAATATGAAATATAAAGCAAGAATATTAAGTTACAATGTGAAGAAACTTTGTTATTAGGCTGAAGCCATGAAGCGGGCCACACTACTTCACTGGTCATAGGAAGATGTTATCAAACACCTCTCCTTGCTTCTACCGCCATCTTGTTCTCTGAGGGAACATCTATTCGCAAGAAGTAACCGACGGCATGAACAACCGGAGGCTCAAAATGAAGCTCATGAACATGGGACATTACTTACTGACTACTGTAACCCCATGTCCATACAGAACACCACAGTCGCCCCACGAGGCAGTCTGTTTCGGGGGACACCTGGCGCAGGAAGGCTGGAGCAGGGGGCCCTCTGTACTCTCGGTTTGGTTTGTTTTTTTGTGGGGAATGGCCTGAGAGAAAACCAGCTTTTAACTAAAAAGTGTACGCACAGTTGATCAAAATTTACTAAAGAACGAATCTCCTACATTTTTAGGCGAGCTTTCAAACTCGATCTCTGTTCTGAATTACCCACTAACTTGTGGGGATTCAGGCTCTCCCCTTATTATTAAAATACATATTCATAAAACTTTTACAGTTGTGCTGTTCTAGTTACAAATAGCTTCTACTTTTCTAGGACATAATTTCACTTTGTTTAAGCAAGAATTCATTAAAGAGGCTATAAATAACCTTTAACTATTTAGCCATGAATAGAGGGTGGACTGGCATTGATGGCTTATTTTAGTACTAATGCAGAACGCTTTTTAAAAGCTACATTTTAGCATGCATCAAGCTAATGATTAAGACTTGCAGTGTAATTTTCCATGTTAGAATAAATTTCTGTATTTTAAGGAGTTTTGCTAAAAGTAAATATGTTATTTCCGTTATTAACTATGAGGAGGGTAGCCTTAGAGAATGAAAATGTGGGGAAGATTAAAACATAGAATTTCCTATTTAAAAAAAAAAACTTTTTTTTAACATCTAGACAGCCTTTCCTTCTCTCCCAAATATGATGCCAGTTAACAGCGCGCACTGAAAAAGGAGAAACGCCCATGAAACTGTGAGAGTCCAAGGATCCATTGCAGTGCATGCAGCATATATGTGAATCGAACACATTTCTACACTCAATCCTGAATCATAAAGTTCACAACATGTTAAGAGACAAAGTTTCATAAAATTTTTACTTGAAAAAAAATGTTTTACAAAATACCATTCTTCAGATCAAAGACACTTTCCCATGGGGTCCACAGAGCTTTCTGCCTTAGAGATTACAAAACGACAGTCAAGGGGAGAGGTCTGAAATAGCCACCGAGCTGCAAAACCTACAAGAAGTAGATTTTTTTAAAGTGCCTTTAAAATGCTAAAGCAAGTAATATAATTGTTGAATCTATTTGAAATTTTAAAAGTTTCCTTTAAATGGTCCATATGGTGTGCACATCATCACAGCTGGTACAAAACTGCCTGTATTTAGTTCGAAACACAAAAACAATGCATATGAAGAGTATTCTTTGAAAAATAAATCGAAAAGCTGCCACTGCATCATAAGGCAAACTCAGACAAGGGTGTTGACAGTATTCAGAGAATTAACAAAACAAGCCGAATATTCAAGTATCCAAACATCTACTTGGATTTTTTTTTGCTACCACTGATAAGATAAGAGAGCTTCCTGCCAAATTAACTCAGGACGCCTTATTTCCAACTACATGTGACGTATTTCGCTATATATATTCTAAACAAATGCAAAACTACGTGTGAGGATATAAATCCCCATTTCCGAGGAGCGCCTAGCTTTTCTGCTGCAGTCTGGCAGCTTTGAACTTTGAAACCCGCTTTGCGCTTCCGCCTGACCCCTCTGCCAGGGCCTCTCTGCGTTCCGGAATGGTGGGTAGCACAGGATGAGCCACAGCTGGGTGCGGTGCTAAGGAGGACGATAGAAATTCTTTTTCTACCACAGTTCCAGAAAAAGCCTAGAAGACAAAAGTCAGGTTGTGGTAATAAAAAGTAAATGAGATGCCCACAAAGTCTCTCTCCAGTATTTGCCAATTACACATTTCTTTTCATTAAAAGTACATTCATAAGATTTTTGGATAAAAAGACAAAATTCTAACATCAAAATACAAATCATTCAGAGAAATCAAATACCTCTAAAATATATCTTAATTACATTGCCAAATATAAATCAGTTTTTATAGTACATATACAAGAAAACAAAATTTAAAATGTTTTATCTGAAATTAAGCAAAAATGGGTAAATAAAAGGTCAACTTTCATACACTCCATTTATGTCTGGCCTATGCTGTGAAACAAGTACTGAAATAAACAACTGCCACTAGGGTATCAGACACCAGCTGATGCACAAGCTGTCCTGAGGGGGCCGCACACCCGCTAGCCCACTGCTGAGGGACTGACATCTCAGGCAGTGTCCCTTTATGCCATTATCTGAGTATTTCATTGCATCTTGTCTCAATTTCGAGAGCTGAGTGGAAACTGAAAAATGAAAGTGCTGACACTAGTGGAAATAAGCATCGGTCTCAAAATTTAATACAACTAATTCAATGGTGGAAATCAAAGGTTCCACAAAAAATGATTCTTTAATTTCAACTGGATGTTTGCTGGACTTATTGGGTCAACTGTTTCCTCCACTGGAACAAAAGTCATGTGTACAAAATGCTGGAAATATAACCAAAGATATATCTTTATATATCTTCTTACATGAAGATCTATAAAAATCAAGTTATGGTTTTTTAAAAAGGTTTCTGGTAATTGGAACCTCCCCTTTTCATCTTCTAAGAACTCATTATGTACAAACTAAAATTTGACTTTCATGTATATTTTGTAAACTTTCATGTATATTTTGCTTAACTTTGTATACCAAGTGTACAAAATTAGTCAAGACAATGTATCACTTGAACAGTTTTTTATAAGTTATTAGCTACCAAAAAGTACAAGTCTAGCATTAATTAGGTCTCATGACTCTTGAGAATAAGTTTATGTATAAAATAAAGCTACAGGATAAACAATGCCACTACCCAGTTGTTTATCATCAATATATTAAATAAAATCATTTAAAGACAATAAAATTAATGATTTATAGACCCACCTGTGAGATACAGCAGCCGCACTTTTCTAAAAAGGAGAAGATGGCCCCCTTTAAAGAAGTAACTTTTCAACCCCAAATAACTATGTGAAGCAGGGAAATGATAGGCCTTCTGACCTGAGCTACCACCACCTTTTCTCTCATGAAAAATGGCCAAAGATACTGTATGAAATAAAGGGTTAAAGACACACACACACACCTCAGGTGTTCCTGTTATGGGCGAAAGTTTCTTTTGATGGTTTTCTTGCTGCTCCTCTTCCAAAATGCTCTCGCTGGTGTCACTACAAGTGGCCTCTTCACAGCTCATGCTCCTCCAAAGCCCGCGTCTGTCATCAAGGTCGGCGGCACTGCTCTCACTGGTGTCACTGCAAACACTGTCCTCTCTGCTGCGAGACTTCAGGATGGACTTCCGAGGGACATATTCTCCATTCACAAGATCAACAAAAACTCTACACACCACAGACACACTCGCTTTAGGTAACGCTCAGACAGAGGAGAAATTGATAATAACTTCTGAAATCTTTTCTAGCACTTAACCTGAAATGAATTCAAACTTCCATCTCAAAGTTTCACAATCAAAATAATTTTGTAGACTTACATATTTTATATTATTGGGTTGTTGGAAAAGTCATGACATATTTTTTCTGTTTTTCATTGCAAAAATGCATCATAACTTTTCCGACAACCCAATATTTTTAAAAATATGATTTTTGGCCTAATAAAATATAGCACTTTACTTATAAACATGTTCTGAGTGACAATAGCTTGATTTGCCAAAATTCTACATATAATTAGACCTACTTAGAAGTCAGTAATTTTCACTATTTTACAAAGACGGGTCATGAAATAGCAGGAATTTTCAAAGTGATACCTTCTCCACAAACAACACACCAAGAGCCGGGGCTGCACACTTAATGTCCACCCTCGCCATGCACTGTCACGGCGAGTAGGACAGTGCTGCCCAGGTCACCAAAATACAGACTTTCACTTCCCAAGTTAACACACGTTTGACTCGATTGACTGGGGATGTTTTAAAGGTACCGGCGAAAGAGGAGGCAGGAGAACCCGAGCACCCACTGCTCTGTGGCTGGGCGGCTCTCAGAGCACCCCCTGTTGAGTGGCAGCCTTGATGTAAGGCCACTTGCCCTGCACACGTTCAGCTGCAGAAGAGGGCCGGGCCAGGCAGATGGCTGTGTGGTCTGCCGTGCCACTCACCTGTAAATGTCAGCAGGAGTCCTGAGCGTGGGCAGCTCCTGGGAACAGTGGCCACCACCACAGCTGTTCTTTCGTTTACGTTTGGCTTCTTCTTTCTTTTCACTGAATTTTAAAGTGGTATTTTTTCCAGTATTTATTCGGACCTAAAAAGTTTACAGCAAAAAAGTATGATCCTTGTGAGAAATTAAATCAAGGACAAAACAAAAATCAATAAACTCTGTAACTAAAGAAATAGTAGTAAGAGAAACAGTTTAAATTTTTGAGACCGAAATGATGTGTACTATCAGCGTGGGTTAAAAAGTCCTCACCTAGGGCCGGCCGAGTGGCTCAGTTGGTTAAGAGCTCGCTCAAGAGTTTGAGCTCTGAGCAACAGCGGTTCGAGTCCAGCTCAAGCTGAGCAGCCGCTGAGCTGCCAACAAACAGGTAGCAGGATGGCTCAGCTAAAAAAAAAAAAAAAAAAAAAAATTCCTCACCTTACTTTTACAGCATTTACATCTTCTTCAATGGCCAAACCTAGTCCTCAGTGACTTTATCATTATACAGAAAGTAAAATACAGTGACCCTTGAACAACATGAGTGTGAACTGCGCAGGTCTACTTATACGTGCATTTTTTCAATAAATATATTGGAAAATTTTTTGGAGGCTTCCTTATTACCATGAAACAATCGTATCGTTGACACTAGGCTGCCATAAAGCGATCATACTGCTGCCCCTTTGTTATCAATGCATGAATCATTATACCTGTAAATACGAATTTCTTTTTCATATTATCATTTTTTAATTTTTTTTTAAAGATTTTATTGGGGAATTGGGGAAGGGGAACAGCTAAGTTGTTGTCCTTCAGTCTTAGTTGTGGAGGGCGCAGCTAGCTCAGCTATAAGTCCAGTCACCTGTCGGCAGCTCGCGACCACTCAGCTCAAAGTGCCTTGTTCAGTCTTAGTTGCAGGTGAGCGTAGCCCACCATCCCATGCGGGAGTCGAACCAAAAACCTTGTAAGGAGCACATGCTCTCACCAGCTGAGCCATCCTGCCACCTGTTGGCAGCTCAGCAGCAGCTTAGCTCGGGCGCAGCTCACTGGCCCATGTGGGAATCGAAATGGCGACCCTGTTGCTCAGAGCTCACGCTCCTTACCAACTGAGCCACTCGGCCGGCCCCTATCTTCATTTTTGATGTCTAGCATTAGTAGTACCAATAATGTCTACAGTGTTTTGTATTATATAAGACAATACTGATGTAAGTACTGACAGATGATTCATGTGACAGACAACGTAAACTTACAATAGCGATAAACACGTACACTATTGTAGATGTGTTTTCTGTATGACTGTCTTACTAGCATCTTCTTTTCTCAGCTTACTTTATTGTAAGAACACAGAATATACTACATGTAACATACAAAACACGTTAACTGACTGCTTGTGCTATCGGTAAGGCTTCCAGTCAGGCTACTAGTAGTTAAGTGTCTGGGGAGTCAAAGGTTATAAGTGGATTTTTGACTGCGTGGGTCAGTGCCCCTAACCCCACATTGTTCAAGCGTTAACTGTACATTTAAACTAAATGCTGTTTTTATTATGATCTTTCACATCACTCCATTACTTTTATCTTTTTGGCTTAAATCATGTATCTCAAAACAAAGTAACCAAAAGAAATATTCTGTAAAAATACAAGCTTTAAGTCATAAAAGCAATACTAGGTAAAGCTTAAACTATTTAGAATTTATTAAATACCTCTCAGTTTTAGAAATCAAACTAAAAACTAAAAGCCAACGCGGTTCAGGATTAACACATTCCTCTTCTCTCCCTATTGCTCGGCATTCCGTATTAATGGCTGCTCTTCCCAAAACACCCCTGTAAATATTATTTATTCTTCCTCTTTTATCGAATGGAAAATGAGGAAAAAAATTTAAGCCTGAAGAAAAACCATGAAACAAACTTTTTTCCTAGCTAACCCATCAGTTTTTTCCAAAGAATTCACGAGATGCTCCCTCTAGTCTGAAGCATTAGACTGTAAAAGAACATAGTTATTTTACTTCATATTAGAGCAGGGTAGCTTTCGGGCCCTGAGAAATGTCCACTATGTTTTAAACATGTTCCGTTAACCATCACAGGCACTGAGAACAGACACAGGCGCTCCCTGCAGGGGACCGTTAGTGAGGGAGCGCTAAACCCAGACAGAGGCGTCCCCGTCCTGTTCCACCCACACCACGGTCTCCTGGGCCTTACTTAGGTTTCCTGCCGAAAGCAAACTAGAAGGACGAATGCCCACTGGCTCCCGAGAGCAGCAGTGATGAGCCAACAGAGGTCAGGGAAGGGGCTAAGGGGCCTGTCCTTCCAGCAACCACCATTAACCTGCTTCCATCAGTTTTAAATACTGGGATCCCACATCATGTACACGGGAACAAAAGGCCTTTTGATACTGAAGAAAAGCTGAAAAACCCTGTACTCTTAGAAGATGTCTCCAGTAACCCCCAGCTCTGAAATGCCAAAATTCTAAAGTCATGATTGCCCACAGATGTTTATATTTACTTTGTCAGAAAAGGAGCTAATTTTTACTTCCTCCTAAGTCTTTCCATTTTGCTCATGATGCTCCTATTCATTTTATGCCCACACAGAAAACAACAACCTGGTCTAATTAAAAATTTAACTAACGCAGTCACTTCCAAACATCCTAAATACACCAAATGCCCACAGTATAACAAACTCTAGAATTCTTAAGAAAACTTTTTGAATGAAGGACAGACAGGTGAAGTTATAGTAGCTACTGCTCAAATCTGATCCCCTTCCAGACCCCGAACAATTTGAACCCTATTGCAGCTTCCGAAAACAATAGCCCAATCCCAGCTAACTCTCTATATTTATTCTTTCCTTTTGCTTTTTAGATAAATTGGTCACAACAAGAGGCAAAAGATGGTTTGTCTGTATGACACTATTAATATTAATGGATCACTGTTAATACTTTCTTTTCAAGTATATAATTGATGATGTTTAATGTTCAAGTTATATGCAAAATTAGGCAAGTTAAAAGTATACAAACCCTCTTAGGCTCAACAGTATGAGAAAAATATATTGTTGGTACAGAAGTATCTCCAACTCCTAAAGCATCATGGACATTTTCATTTTCATCGTCATCACCACCATCGTCTTCATCACTGTGATGGGAAGTGGGACCATTCACTGAACAGTTTCGGTGACCATTCACTGCAGCCCTGAGCGGCTCTGGGTCTGTAACGTCCCTGTAAAGACTGCTGGGGGCAACGGAGTCGGCTCCTTCGTTCTCCACATTCCCATGCATGTTCTGATCCTCCTTTTCCTCTTCAGAAGACGATGCATCTTCTCCATTTGCAATCACAGTATCAGGCTTACTAGGAAAGCAAAAGAGAAATTAACAAGATCAAACACACACACTAGAGTTTTACATATTTTCATTTCAGTTCATTTCAATAGATAAAAATAAGAATTTTGAGTAGGGTTTTAATTAGAATTCTAGGTTAACAAAAATGTTCTGAAATAAACAGGAAAACATCCGTTCCTATGCTAATTTTGTATATTGTAGTTATTCACACATAAGTAGAATATAGATGCTTTTTATCTTTGCAAGGAGGATACTGGCTATACAAAATATAAGTACAATACAAATAATACTCTCAGAAATTTTTAAGAAATGCATAGGGAATATGTATCTCTATTTAAAGATCAGAAATTAAAACCACAGAACATGAACACATTCTTATTTTCTATTTCTATACTCAGGACATTTTATAAGCATGCATTATTATAATTTAAAAAAATAAAGGACTTATACATATGCACATAAATGTAATTATATTTATACACATACATACATGCACATTTTTTATGCCTCGTCCTACAAAGGATTTGTGGACCTTATAAAAATAACAAAACCAAACGCAATACAACCGAAATAACATCATGCAAAAAAGGAGACTCATGATCAAAAAAATCACAAGATTCAAAACTGGGTTTAAATAATGAAACTGTATCAGTTAATCAAAAACATCGAAGAATTTATAGGTGAAATGGTAGGGAGGAAATATCCTTTGTGCTGCATGCCCTGTTTTCCGCAGAAACTAATTACTGTATACGGTACATCATTTAAGCGAAATAATACAGGAGCCTCTGTAGTAACAGATTTCACTGAGCACTTTCACAGTTCTGAGTGAGTGCTAATGTGTATTTCAAACAGCAGTCTGGGAAAGTTTTTCATACACATAACTACCTGACCAGATTACAAACTGCCTGCTCAATAAACAGAAAAGTTTGCCCAGGAAAGCAAGGATAAATATTTTACAGTAACAAACTTAAATTCAAAGCAAATTTTTCTTTTCAACAAGTTATTCAAGCATATAACAATATCCTGCCTAAAATATAAAAATACTTCATTTAAGTATTGGTCAGAGCATGAGCTCTGAGCAACAGGGTTGCCAGTTCGATTCCCACATAGGCCAGTGAGCTACACCTGAGCTGAGTTGCTGCTGAGCTGCCGATGGGTGGCAGGATGGCTCAGTTGGTTGGAGTGTGTGCTCTTAACAACAAGGTTGCTGGTTCAACTCCTGCATGGGATGGTGGGCTGCACCCCCCGCAACTAAGATTGAACACGGCACCTAGAGCTGAACAGCCGCTCAGTTGGTTAGAGCGCATGCTTTTAACAACAAGGTGCTGGTTCGACTCCCGTGTGGGATGGCAAGCTGCCCCGCAACTAGACTGAAAACGGCAACTGGACTTGGAGCTCAGCTGCGCCCCTCACAACCAAGACTGAAGGATAACAACTTGACTTAGAGCTGATGGGCTCTGGGAAAAACACACTGTTCCTCAATAAAGTTAAAAAAAAAGAAGGGGAAGGGGAAGGTTTAAAAAAAATGTAATGTAATATATCAAAAGCCATAATTATTATAAGTCAACTACTGGTTTATCTCAGGACTTCACTGTATAAAGTATGGCTGATGTCTTGTAATTAATACCATAGGGATATTGATTTTAAGCATCTCTGCACATACACACGGGCATGTGCATGAACACACCCCTAAAAGAAAATCTAGAGAATTAACATTTATTTTAGGGTGGCAGGATTGTTGAAGTTTTAATATATTATGGTTTTTTGTATTTTCTTCAATGAGCACATATTATTTTATTAATGAGGAAAAAGATTAGGAAGGCACTGTGTATGGAAACAAATTCTCTTGGAAGGACAGTTTGCCATTAGGTACCTGTCAAGTTCACCCAGCAATTCTTCTTGTCTCTCTAGTTCTTCAAGTCGAGCCCACAGCTCCCTATCAGCAAGCAAATCCTTGGATTGTACATCATTTGCAAAATCTGCTTCAAAAATATCTGAAGTTTTGGGTTTGGAGTGAGGTTTATGAGCAATTCGGTGCTTTGCTGTTTTTTAAAAAGGGAAGACATGGCTGTTAATAGTCCACTTCAAAAAGACACCAGCCTAGACTTAGTAAGACTTTCTTATGAGACGAGGGGACACTGACACAGAGGGGGCATGATTTTTAAGCCAAACAGAACTCCAGGATACCGTCTCTTAGAATCTTGCCATTTGAAGTGTGGCCCTACGACCAGCAGCCCTGTCCCTGGAGGACATTTCAGAGACACTGACTCTCAGGGCTTCCCAGGACCTGCTGAGTCACAGTCTGAGTTTTAATAAGAGTCCCGGAGGATTCACATGCACGTTCAAGATTGTGAAGAGCTACTTGAGCACTTCAAAAATGCACAAGCACAAGTGGTGCTGACGCACCCTGGTTACAACGCAGAGGTCAGCACAGCAGTGCCCATCTTCCCACCTTGCTCAAGAGAGCTCAGCTACTAAAGGAACACATTAGAGCCTCGTCACAGGGTACTGTCACCTCTAAGGCACTGCCAAGCACGAATACACTAGGAGGAACCTATGGAGAGTAATCCCTGGAAAGCTTTGACTGTGATTTTACATGTATGAACATTTCTACTTTTCAAATTGCTTTATCTTATTTATCTTTATCTTATCTGTGAGGGCAGGAGATAAACTCTGAACTCAAACCTATCTGCTTTTCATCTGAAGGAAAAAATATATATATACACACACACACACACACACACACACACACAAACACACACACACACACATATATTGCACAAATTAAAGCTTTGCAGAAGGCACTGGGAATATAAAACGCTGTTACAAGGTCCAGTACTGACAGATGACCTCCATCACATATTCAAATTTACAACACTGTTTTCTAAATTTGAAAATATCAAAATTATATTTCATAGTCTATTCTCTGGAACTATTAGTGACAAAACAGTATTAACAAGTTTTACGTTTCAGACCTGTAAATTACATAAATCTTTCATTGGTCACCACAAACAAAAATCATAAATTGTCTTTCAGCTCTTTAATTTTAATATATGTCTCTTTTACTTCACCTTCTAAAACCACTTGTGATGCCACGTCAGTAGAGACGGTATGGATAGAATACGGCTTCTGAAATTATCTCTTTCAACCAATAAATTCTCTTCAGGATAAATTACTAAAATACGAACTTTATCAAAATTAATGTTTAAAGTAACAGTTTTCTACAGTAGCAAAGTGTAGACCATTTCTGTAACTTTAAATTTTTCACTACTGTAACACTTTACAACTGACAGGGGAGCTACTGCCTTTATACAAGTAAACCACACACACAGCCCGTCCTTGGCCAGGGAAGGCTGTGAGATGAGCCTGGGAACCCCGTGTCCTGCGTGGGGAAGGCCACTGCAGGGAACATGAAACGAATGGCTCAGGTATGCTCAGATGCTATTCACTCTCCTCTAAACACAGCATCTCGACCTACAGTTTTAAAAGG